AAAATATCCACACATGACAAAACTAGTGAATTTTGCAGAAATTCTCGTTTTTTTATTTTTATATTTTTTTGTCGTCAGTCCTGTTTGGTTTTAAATCGCAAGTAAAATTGTCAAACATAAACCAAACTATTTTGACAGGTTTGGTTTGGTTCAAAACCATTTCGTTGATGGGTCCACGTGGCACCAAACCGACGGCTTCTAGAATGCGATTTCGGTTCAGTTTTCCGATTTGGCGGTTTTTCCTTACAGTCCTAATTTCCTTCATCTGGATTAGCAAACCCATTTTCTAATAAGTCCTGGAGGTCTTAAGACTTAAATAGGTCTTCATTTTGATGCTTCAACACTCATAACACCCTCCTTTAAAAATAGGGATGGTGGTTTGTGAAATACTCACTGAATTTCCATTTGAAGCCATGATGTTTCTCTCTTTCTCTCAAATATTGTAACTCACTGGCTCAAATGAATCTGAACTGGGCTCTGAAACCACAAATGTTTGGAATTTAGAGTAGTGGAGTATTAAAAAGGAAATTGTAGATAGAAAATAACATTCAGAAATGCAGAGAATACAAGTTATCTACTGCACATTTTATTCCAGAGCTCAAGGTGCCTATATATAGGCTTACAAGCAAACGAAAAGCAAAAAAATCTCAAATCAAGGAGCAAGAATCTGCAGATAAAAACAAATATGAAAGACTAAGTCAAATTTGAACAATTTGTGAATCAACCTTCAACACTATATCTGCTACAACTTGAAAATTCGAAAGACTTTCGTCTGTCAAGACATGATATTAGCTGAGTGAAAATCCTAGTTTCATGAGAAAATGATAGTGAAAATCAATCAGTGGAAGTATTTGACTTGTATGGTTATGCTACCCATTGTTACTAGTGAGCAAACCAATTCTAATGAAGAAACAACAGGTGCAAACACTGAGGAACCAACAGGGTTAAAAATATGCAACTCATTAACCAAGTGAGCTTATATCATCTTCAACTCAACAATTTCATTGAAGATTCACGAGACAAACACTTCTCTGAAGAAATTGAAGGATTTCTTTACTTTTCATGCAACCTATAATCTCAAACAGATACATTTGCCGTATAACAATGTGAGTTCGATTCATTCAGCTTTACTTATTACCATATCAAGCAATTATGAGCCAAAAAGGTTCAAAGAAGGCAACTCCAATCAAGTCTGGGGAAAGATTATAAATAAAGAACTCCAGGCACATAAACCATACATGAGACGTTCAATTGCCCCTTGGAAAGAAAACTGTTACTTGTCGGTGGATAAACATATTAAATTACACCTCAGGTGAAGGATGACAAAGCTACATTCATTTATCGATTGTTACTTAGGAAACATTGTAGAAGGAATTGAAGGATTAGTTCCTGCATTGCAATACGGCTTAGATTGCAAGGGAATCTCTTAAAAAGTTAAGGCAGTCAAGTAGCATTTGATAATAAGTGCAGGAATTCAGTAGTCTAATGCTGGATATTCAATCCAAGGATAATAAACTTTTCAACTTTATGTCCGGGATTACAGAGTTGGGATATGCAGAATTGTAAAGGCAAGAAGTGAAGGACCTTCCTTCGGCAATGATTGCAGCTGATTGTCTTGTTGATTACAAGTTGGGTAGCAATTCCTCTGTTCAAAGGAAGAACTATGATAAGAAGGGTGGTACATTGAAAGATTGGAAAAAGGGGGATAAGAAGAAAAAATTTGAGGCTCCAAAACTGAAAGATGGTGATAAGTCCCAATTGAAATCAACAAGTTTCAGGAGCTGCTTCATTTGCAACGGTCCCTATCGTGCAAAGAAATATCAAAAGAGGGAGAAATTGAGTGTCTTAAGGTTAGAAGGCAATGATGATAACTCAGATGATGCCCCCATCTAGAATTAATATGTAACAACTCGTGAACACTATCATTACATTGTACTATGGCTTGATATATATTTGGGTTACTATTGATGGTAAGGAGGTGTTGGCAATGATGGACATCGGTGCTACCAACAACTTTGTAAATTCGAAGATAGTTGAGAAGTGCTACTTAACACATACCTTTTATGTTATTTTGGAAAATGTTCTTACCTTTCATTTTTTTCGCATTTTCACCCTTATTTCAACCTTTTATTACGCAAAATGTCATTTTCATTTACTTTTTCAATTAAAATATGTGAAATGACAAAAATACATTTTTGTTTAAAAAACGAAAACAAAAAGAAAGAACTAATTACAATCATAGTCCCAGATTTTACAAAAAGTGCAAACGAGTCTCAAATAAAATTTTAAAAGGGTAATTAGTACATGATGTCCTTACCTTTCACTATTATTGTGAAAAATCCCTACTTTTCATTTTTTTTTTTTTGACATTTCACACTTAATTACACCTTTTATTGCTCAAACAATCATTTCTATCTATTTTTTCAACAAAAAGCTGTGAAATGACAAATATATCCTCCTATTTAAATAAAAAATAAAGAAATAATTGCAATCATAGCTCAAATTTTTTTTGAAAAGTGCAAATGAGTCCTAGATAAATAATTAAAAAATTAGAGATTAATCTTTTTTTTTAAGTGCAAACGAGTTCCAAATAAATTATTAAAAAATTAAAAATTAAATTTTTTTTAAGAAAAGTGGAAATGAGTCACAAATAAATTATTAAAAAATTAGAAATTAAAATATTTAATTTTTTATTTATATTTTTTATTTAAATTTGATGGTATATTCGTCATTTCACGTCTTTTATTGAGAAATTGGATGAAAATGAATAGAAATGATGGATTACGCAATCAAATGTGTAACTAAAGATGAAAATATAAAAAACAGGCAGGGACTTTTTCACAATAATAGTAAAAAGGTAGGGACAACATCTGCTAATTACCCTTTTAATAAGTTATTTAGGGTTCGTTTGAACTCTTTTTTAAAAAACAATGAGAGTATGGTTGTAATTAGTTTTTTCTTTTGTTGTTTCAGGGTATATTCGTCGTTTCACAACTTTTAATTGAAAAAATGTATAAAAACGACATTTTGCGAAATGAAATGTTGAAATAAGGGTGAAAATGTAAAAAAAAATTGAAAGGTAAGGACGTTATGTTCTAATTACCTATTGAGAAGTTAGGTTTAAGAATGACTCAGGTGACCACAAAAATTAAGGTTGTGAATTCTACAGCACAACTTGTGAAGGAATCTATTGAAATCACCCTTCGTGTGGGTGAACGGGAGGGAAAGTGCAATCTGATGACTATTCCATTGGATGATTTTGATTTAATCCTTGTTATCGAATTTTTTGTCAAGGCAAAGACGTCCATGGTATGACATCTCAATGAGTTATACATTGTTGTTGAAAATGATCCTTGTTTTGTGCTGCGAGGTATCTTAACAAGAATAAGGGAAGGCAAATTTAGGAGGATATGCAATCTGCAAAATACCTTAAGACCGATCTAAGGAAAGGGAAAATGACTTTTGTTGCAGCCTTGGTAGAAATTAAAGAACATCGGGTTATAGAAATGCCTGACCAGGTTGTTGACGTGATACAACCAGAACTTCTAAGAACTCTTCCATCTCGTCATGCTGTTGATCACAAAATTGAACATAAACTAGGTGCATAGGCTCCTACACAAGCCCCATATCGAATGACTTTGTCTGTGTTGGCAGAGTTGAAAAGGCAGCTTGATGATTTACTTTAGACGGGTTTCATTTGGCCTTCAAAAGCTCCTTATGGTATCTTAGTTTTATATTAGAAAAAGCATGATGGTTCCATGAGGATGTGGGTAGATTATCGTGTACTGAATAAGGTGGCGATGGAGAACAAAAATCATGTGCCTAATGTTACTGATTTGTTTGATGGATTGGTGAAGGTTTCATTCTTCACCAAGCTGGATTTGCGATCCGACTATTAATGGAAAGTAAGAATAGCTTAAGGGGGTGAAGCACATACAGCCTGCGTGATTAGGTGTGGTTCCTTTGAAATTCAGGTTATACCCTTTGGGCTTACAAATATACATGCTACTTTTTACAATTTGATAAATGATGCATTATACGAGTTTCTGGATAATTTTGTGGTAGTGTACTTGGATAATAAGGCGCCCCATTTACAAGGATAATGTGTATTTCATTACATTTGGAAGAGTTGTTGCATAAGGGTGACTTTGGTCCAAAGGACATCTTCTTCGAGACCTCTCTTGATCTTGGGTTTCTATGTTTATCACTAGCACTTATTGTGGGTGGATGCCTCTTTTATTTGAGTGGATTTTGTCCTCAAAATACTCATATTTCAAGGAGTGAAAACCCAAGATGTTGAGTTGAACTACGAATCTTCCGTGTTTAGGGCTTCCACTCGCTCTTTATTCAAAAACAAAACATTTTTTCAAGGGAAAGCCTCTTCATTGCTTGAATTCATAGTGAGGAGGCGCATCTTTTTGTCATTGAAGCTGGAATTATTTTTGAAGTATTTTTTTATGAGAATGTTCTCTAATTATTAATACAAAGGAGTCGAAAGTACAAATGTATGAATCACCTTTTTACTCGTAGATGTATCGATTCCAACAAATTAAACTCATTACATCCATATTGGTTTCAATTTTTAATTATAAAAGAACAAAAAATGTGAGCCTACTGTCCGTATTTGTGCATTATTTTCTGCAGATGATTTTTTGCAACAACGAAAAGTTCCAACTTTCAATTCAGCGTGAAATATATCAATTAAAAGAAAAACAATGAATTTAGGCTGAGCTTCAAAACATGCAGGCTCATTGGCACATCATGCCATATTAGATATTGAGATAGGACTAGCATCGATGGGATAATCGAATATTAGGTTGCAATGCTTCACTTTCATTCATACAAACTTAATTTATTTCTTGTATTAGATACATTGTGTCGATACACATTCTGAATTTTGTATCTTAGTTTATTGTGTATGATCTATAATCTTGTTCAAGTCTAGATCCTTCAAATAGTTTTCTAATTATACAAGCAGTTGTTAGGTTGAACTAAGCCAGAAGCCTTTCCATTGGCATAAATGCATGATGAACGAGCCAGTTCATTATTGTAGGTCAGCTTAACATCTTTCAAGTTAATATCACTGCATGGATTTCCTTTACTGCAGTCAAACTTCATTGCAATTTTGGTTGCCGAACTCCCATGTATGTCATGATAAGTTATATGACTAATCTTTACACCCGAAACCTGAAAAAATAAAATAATTTTCAGAATTAATCGGTTGGATGTCATCTTATATACGCAAGGTGAAATAGGGTGGGAGTTGGGTTTTTCTGTATCTGTATAGAAATAAGAGTAACAATGAAATTTATAATGCTACAAAAGATATTATTACCTGATTAGGACAATTGCGGTGATGGGGGCAATAATTTTGGTCAATAATTATTGGGTTTCGGACGTTAACCATTGCAAGATGCTGGAAAAGAACATATTTAACAAACCCCTTGCTTGGCCTGGCCCATGTCTTCACCCTCACCCCATTTTGTGTTCCTGTAAATGTGGTTGACTTAACTGTCACATTTTGCACTCCAGGTTCTTGCAGTTGCCACGCTAGACTGCCAATGCTGCAACAGGCACACATTAATCAACTTACGCATTCAGTACTTAATTTATAGGTCACCTATAAGTAGGCAAATATATATATGAAGTGATAAAACCAGTACCTTATTCCATGACCAGGGCCGCAGGCGACATTTTCGATCCACAGGTTGGATGTGCCGGGGCCTATAGAGACACAGTCATCTCCGGTGCCAATTTTTGAGTTCATAATTGTCACTCTTGAGGATTCCGCCACATGAATTCCACCGGTGTTTGGGCTGTTTCCTGGCGCTGAAATCTTCATTCCCACCAGCTTGGCGTTTTGACTTCCATAAACCTGAATGTGGAACTTCTGGCTATTTATTGAAGATAATCCATTGATTATGATGTTTTTCGAATTGTAGAATGCCAGTGTCTGTATTGAGATACAATCAAAAAGTACTTTAGAATTTTCATAAAATAGGCATGCATACAATAGGAAGTTTAATACAAGAAAAGATTCAGTAAAAAAATAGTTTGTCATACATCAAAGATGATTTTGGATAGTACAAGCAACTAACATCACATATGAATCTGTACATTGCTAATCTTTGACACCTCATTACAATTTTGAGGTGTCAAAAGTTTAGAGATTGCACTTCAAAAATTGTAGTAAACCTTTTTTCGTATGGCTAAATATTCTAGCTAGTATAGAATCAACTAATGACATGCAAAGCTAATTAGATAACTATTTCGAATGTCTGATAAAGTCCACTTTCTTTTTTATTAACATACCGTTGCTCCGTTTGGACAACTCTTGCCGGAATTTTTGCAAGCCCACAAATTAGCCCCTCGGCCATCTAGGGTACCACCAATGACGGAAACTCCGGTCACTCTTTCGAACTTGATCCAGGTACCAGAATTTCCAATAACATTATAATTAGATGGAGCTACAAGAGTGCCATCAATGCGCATATTTATAGCCTGATTCTTGCATGACTGGCCGGAAAAAGTTGCAGTGCGGAGCAAGAATCTCCCTGGTGGTACGTATATGGTGGCTGCCTGAGTAGAGGCACAAGCTGAGGTCCATGCTCTGAAGAATGCTTTTGTGGAATCAGTTTTTCCGTCAGGTTTTGCTCCCAATGTTTGTACATTGTAATTAACATTGGCTGCAAGGGATGAGTACTGAGAGATTGTGAAAATGAAATTGAAAGCAAGAAAAGTCACTAAGCTAGCCATTTTTGTGTATATGAGAGTGATGCGATGAGGAGTTGAAGCGTCTAAGAGCTATTTATAGGCTTTAGTTTGTGAATTTAGATAATGTTTACTGTTTATTTTTGACTAACAAAACCTGTTTGGTACAATTATTTTTTCTAGAAGCCTAAAAGAATCCGACCAAAAAGTACAAATCAATAAATTGCGGCTCAAGAAACAGATACACCCACGAGCAAACAAAGTTCTCATAATTCTCATGTATTTTCTTGTATTTTATGTATAATTTGTCACCAAATTTATAAAAAAAATGTTCATTTCTATGACATTTATTGTAAAAGGCAGATTCAATATACATTTGACTGATATATTAAAGATTGATGGAAAAAATTGTGCAAACTGAAACTCTTTTATTTTGTATTGTCCAATTATGCTTTACTCTTCAAATCACGTTTTATTCATGTGTTTTGTGAGATCTACAAGAACGATTTATATATCTATCCTAGGCTCGTTTCCATCTATTAAGTATTCGTCACATATCAGTCCTTGCTTATCAATATTTGTCTAAGAATTAGAAAACTCGCCAGAATAAAGAATAACATATTCTTGAAATAAGTTTTATTTTTTCCTTAAAAACCGGTTCGACAAAAATTATTAAATTCAAAACATAAAATTTGTGGCACTAACATAAATTTATCAAATTCTTAACAAAGACAATTTAAATTTACAAAACAACCAAATGATTTGAATTAGTTGAACATAGGAATGGATAACCAACAAATTGATGAATAGAAACAAAGTTAAGAAGGTAATTAATTACTTGATCCACACGCCATTCATTCTTCGTTGGTCATACACAGTACAAGTTGAAGTTTGATTTCCGGAGAGATTAATGTTATACCTAATTTACTTACTTTTCAGCTAAGGTACAGAAATCTTTCGTCTTTTCAATCTATTTTGTTTTCTGTACTTATACTGATTTTCAGTACTTATTCACATACCTTTTTTTTTTCTTTTCGTTCCATATTCCTACCTTGTATTTGGCAGCCATAGGATTTTTATTTATTTATTTATTTTGAAAAGCAAAAGCCAATATTCCATTAATGAA